TGGGTCCGGGTGTTGCCTCAGGGGCTGGGGGCCATTTTCCTGCCACACGCCGGGTGGCAGCGCGGTGCCCGGCCGATCCCCCTGTAAGACCCTATTTCCACTTCGTATAGCTCTACTCTTTAATTTGTGTCAGCTTGGACTCGGGTTTTCCTTGAAAAAGGCCTGCTCTTGGCTAAATCTCCTTTTTTTCTTTTTTCTCCTTTTCTCTCTCTTTTTTTTCCCTGCTCGTCTTCTATTTCTCCATCCCTTCTCTCCTTCTCATCATATTTGAACCTTTTCCATGAGTAAGGCTGAGGGAAAACAAGTTTTGCATCCAATAAACAAAAATCTGCTGACCTTTCTTTCCTTGGGTGAACTCTAGCATTTCCATGTTGTGCAACAGGGACTTGGCAAGGAGGGGCCCTCTGAGCCAGAGACGCGGTGCTTCCTGTTCCTCTGACCGTCCGCTGCAGACTTCACAGTGCTGAAGATTTCTGGTGTGAACATGCTCAGAAGGGGCTTTGAAGATTTCAGTGGCCGAGCTCCTCTCAGATTTCGTCATCTTTCACCATTGTTGAACAAGAGAGAATCCAGCAAGAGTTAGGGGCACAGAAATACGTTATAAGAGGAAAGCTTGAAAGACTTTTTAAACACAGAAATGCCATCTCTGGCTCAGAACGCCCCTGACCGGCCTATTGTTCAAAGCTGGCATTGTGTAACAAAGAAGTAGCGCTATATATTTACTCTCTTCTTATAGTCTTCCCTGCATGTCCACTATTGGCTACTGCAGAAACAGGTTATCAGGCATTTACTTTGACCTCATACAGCCGTTCTGAAGTTAACTGGGCTCTTTTTAGGTTAAGAAGAAAAAGCTGAGAGAAGATACACTAAGAAAAAATTATACTTTTAATATAGAGACTTCCACTGGAAAAAAAATAAAGGAATAAACTATTTTCCATGTTTACAATAAATAGGATGGGAGAGAAATGGGCTAAAATGACAACAAATATTTACGTTAGATAGTGGGGAAGGACTAGTAGAGCTTTGCACTAGATTCGCATGCCAGATTGTGTTTTTTTAAAAAACAGGTTAGACAAACTTCCTTCAGGAAATTATTCTGTTGTAGGGCAGAGGTGGACTTAGATAGTCTCCCAATGTCCCTGCCCGCTCTAATCTCTGTGATTCTGTTATCCATCATCCCACATTACCCAGGGCTAATCAGAGATTATACCACACCTTTGCAGAAGTAGGCCCATTCTCTGCCCCTTCCTAGCTCTTCTTGTGTGTGAGCAGAATTCACATGTACCGTGCCTACTAAATGACTGGCTAGAAATCTTTCCAGTAATTGCTTCTGTTAAGGAGGGTGGAGTTTGGCATTAGCAGCAAGAACTGGGAGGCTTTGCTGCATTTGCACTAATGCCTAAGTGCAAGACAGAAAGAAGAAGGCAGGAGAAAGAAGCTGCCAGATGCAAGTGCAGGAGAAAACACACGATAGGGTAGATGGGAAGGGGAAGAAGACAAGAGTGGACATGAAACCTGGTGAATCTGAGACTGGATGGGGATATAAAATCAGCTGGAAGTTGAATTGAAGGTTGGAGGGTATTGATCAGAAACAGACACAAAGGTTGTCTTGGCACAGAAACCATGGTTAAGAGATGGGAAAGAAGAGACTGACACTGGGAGACAGCGAGGAGAACGGCAGGAGGATTCTCAGCTGCCTGAGGAAACAGGAGCTCTAGATTCAGTAAGGGCAGGCCCTACTGGAATAAGATATGTGTGTTTCTCTAGGAAAACCGCAAATGGTATTTGACTAACCAGGATCTAAGAGATATGCCCAGTGATGCAGGAAGAGAATGAAAGCTCTTGAAGAGGACAATGAAACACTTCAACCTGGTATCGTGAGACAGAGTCTTAAGATAAGGCATAAAGGTGGTGTAGACAAGAGGACGAGCATAAAGTCTTGAGGAAGTTGAAATAATGCAATGTATGAGTATATGGTAATTAAATAGTCTAAGTTATGTACTTGTAATGCTGTACTTTTCCAAAGAATATCACAAAACAAAATCTGGCAAGGCTAGAACACCACTGAAACCAGTGAATTTTACAAACGGGGCTTCCACCCGCAAGTGCTTGTGTGTTTTTTTTTTTTTTTTTATTCAGCCTTTGGGCTTAATTTACTGAAAACTTATCTGAGGAAATAAAATTTATGTTTAATACTTGAGCCATTGTTTGTTGTAGGCCGTGGGGGAGCTTCGAGTGTAGATGGAATGGCATAGATAATGGCATAGATGAAAGCACTAATCCTGAAAGTAGCAAGTCTTTGGGCTTTCAGCTCTAGGGCAAAAAATGGGGCAGTTGAAAGGCTAGGGAGAGTCCCATCTCCCATGCTTTTACATATCCTCATGCTTTGTTGTTTTAGTGAAATGGAACATGGTCACAATAGATCTTGTTCTTAAAGAGTGATCGTTCAGGCAGGAACTCCATTGAAAGGCTTTAAATATTAGGATAGCGACACTGAATTAGGCTTTAACTAACGGGAGCAGGAGAAAATGGGTGATATGTTCTAGGCAGTTGGTGTGCAGCAATGTCGTGTTTTGTGTCAGCTGGAACGTTTACTTCAGGACATGAGCTTTATTTATAAACACTGGTGTCTTGAATATCCCTTACTTCTGATAATATTCTGATCTCTTGCCGGTACCTTAGAAATGGACTGTAACATGACTAGACAATCTGCAGAAGTGAAAGGAAGAGTGATTCCTTGTTTCCATTGTGCCAGCTTAGTGAAGTGTGAAATGAAATCAAATGGTAGATACAGTAACAAGCAAATCTGTTCCTAATAAATTACACAGAGTCAGATTAGCGACTGGTGTAGGACTAAAAGGCTAGTATAGTGCATATAATCTAGCATGATGTAAAATATATTATTTTGCACCAGAAATATCGTTGATATCACAACTGTTAAAGACTGTCCCTAGCTACAATGTGGGCAGTGATGAGGCAGCCATGAAAGGAATCTCTATACGTTTCTGCCCTTCCGAGAGGAGTCCTTGGGAAGACTCCAAAGGGTGAAACTGTACCTGGAGTGAGTGGGTGCAAGCACTTTTCATTCACATGAGGGGTGGAGTTTGTCCAGCAAAACCCACATGCTTCAGCTATCTGAATGTGGTGATTATCCGTTAAAGATATGTTTGTGATTCTTAAAAACAATGCACTCCTGCATTAGCACAGTAATACTCTCCTCTTGCCTAGCCTGATAACAGAAGCTTGGTTTTGGCAGTATTCTCCCTACAAGGCCAATTTTTGGGCAGTTTCCAAAGCCTGTCTTCTCTTCGTAGTTCTCCAAGGAACAACATAAATCTGTGTTCCTCTCCCTTGTTCAACAAATCCTCCAGCTTTCCTTAGAAAGGATTGTACTGGCTGTGATCAGGTGTTATCTGATTCCTCTTAAATTCCATGAAAAGCAAATATACTCAGTACTTGTAGGATTCAATCTCTAACAAATATCCATAGCATCTTATTTATCATGAGTAAGTTCCTTGTTGACTATTGTGGTCTTAAAGATGACAGCATTTATGTGGGAGTGGGACTTCTGTAACAAAGAGCAAACTCTTACGATCAGCTGCTTTCCTTGGATGACAAAAGTGCGAATGATTGCTAGTATGATGCAGAAAAAATGCCTTAGCCTTTTGCCTACTGGGGGGATAGGATTTTTTATTTGGCATAATTGTGGGAGCCACTGATAGATGGTAAAGCTGGTCCTGTTTTTCTAAGACGCTCCTTGCAGTTACTGCTGGATTTGAAAGTGAGGACTGTAATGTCACTGTATCACATTACATTTTTACTGCCTGGTATACTTAGCTTGATGTCAGGAGTTTCAACAACATGTACTGAGGACAGATATGCGATACCTATGTGATTTCTTTTGTAAGCTTCAGTTCAGCGAGGAATATAAATTCATGCCTAATTTCAGATGTATAGGTTGTTCTATGGCTTTCATTCGCACCATATTCTTGATGTCCAACATATGCTTAATCCGCTGCTGAATCTCTTAGTAGTTTTCAGCCGGTTTGATATTATGTCTGTATTCAGATTTTTCTTAATCCTGAGACTTGAGAAAATCAAGGGATGATTGTGTGGACAGAAGCAAAGTGCTCAGCAATGTTTAACAAAGCACTGAATAAACTGAGCGTTTCTGATCACCGGTGCTGGAGATTACAGGTTGTGAAATGAAGAAAAAAATATAACATCTGGAGCAGGCAGTAATTACTGATTTATTCTAATGTTTTGTATTCACTATTTTAGATGTCTGTTTAAGCAACATGTTATTCCATGGTACATTTTTTCACAGACCAGATAATAGCGGAACCTTTCCAGGAGGTGGAGGAAGGATTTGGCACCATATCCCAAGGGAGGGGCTGATGGAAAGAGGATGGGGTTAATAATGGCAGGTCCTAGATTCACTTGGCAGAGGCGGATGAACCACAGGGGCCCTCTGGAAACTGTGGCAATGACTGCACGAGTTAAAGCTATGGAAGTTTTCCTTTTCATGTAGCGCCAGTTTGTAGTTTGGTTACTTGTGCTGTGCTGTGGCACAGGAATTTGCTGTGGTCTGGACACCTTAATGACGAGCCTGCTTTGTCCAGCGCAGCATGACATGTGAGGTGTTTCAGCTGCATGTGAAAATGTTGGTCTGCTCAGTGTTAGAAAAGGGATGACTCTTGACAGCTCTGTTATGGTAGCTCTAAGGCAATCGCTTGGTATCTAAAATGTGTGAAAACTGCGGTTCATTATTGTTCCGAGCAGATGGCAGTGTTTCTGAGTTGTCGGCTTTCTGGAGGAGGTGGTGGTAGGAAACCAAACCATTAAAAGCCGCTGCTCCAGGAAACTGCTGAGTCAAGACTCGGGCAATCACGTGGAATGCCAGAAAAAGAAACCTTTGTTAGGAGGCGAAGGGATCAGAGATCAGGTTGCAGCAGAGACAGCTGCAAAACTTCTGCGAAAGAGCTCTGAGGTCTAGTGTACTGCCACAGCTGGGAAAACACGTTCCCAGCTTAGCAGGAAGGAGTGGAGGTACAGGAGGCAGTATTTTTGTCACAAGCATATTATAAAACCATGCTTGTATAAGTGCAGCTTGGTTTAATCAGATGCTGGTTTTCTTGGCAGGTGAGAGTGAGGTATAGCTGGGCTTTAACATGGCGCTGGTACAGCAGCTGCTCCTTTGCTATCCCACTGCTGGCATCCTCCGTGCTGCAGGACACCAGGAGATGGTGCTGCCCTTGATTTTGTGATACGCTGTAACGTTCGGAAGCATTTCCAGCCTTTGCTGGATGTTACGTGTGCTAGAGTAATCAGTAGTCAGGCAGCTAGATTAACAAGAGATAGCCGATGAGACTTCGATGCACGTTGTGAATTATGCCAAACTAGTTCTAGGAGTAGTTCTCTTCTATATGAAAAAAAAAATATTTTTCAGATGATTGACTGACACCTCAATATATGCTTTGCACTTGTAACAGCAAAGTGGAAAAATGCCAGTACTCTCAATTTTGTATTTTTATCTGCATACATAGTCTGCTGACTTGCTGGAGATACATCTCTCAGTTTCGGAGCAGGAATTATTTTCTGAAAATGAGTAGCTTTGTACACTAGACACCTTCTGCTTCCAGCTCTTATGAAAGATATGTTGGCTGTAACTTTTGCTGAGAAGTTTCAGTAGGAAGTTTCAAACTTCGGCAGGAAGTTGTTACAGAGGTTGTAAGGGAAACTCTTTCATTTTATTTTTCTTATCTGGGTATCTTACAGCAGGATTTTAGCATTACAGCATCCCTTGTGATCTAGAATAATATCATTTCCCTTTTACAGATAGCAAATTAAGGCAGATGATATAGGTAATTAGCCTACAGTCTCATGAAGTCTCTGACAGAGCTGGGAAACCAGTCCTGCAAACCCTAGTTTAGTGTCTGGTCACTACTTTGTCCTGATTAACACAACTCTTCTAGGGAATGATCTCCATCCGATTTGAGGTGAACCTGCACAGCGTCAGCTTGAGTATCTGCTCTGTGCTTTTGAAGCTAGGATTTGAAGCAGCAGCAGCTGCAGGGGTAAAGAGGAAGAAATTGAATCAAGGGAGACGCAGAACGTTCATGTGAGGGAGCAGAATCACAACGGTTTGGGTGCCAAGCCAGCTCTCTGCTGGAGCAGGCCTGACCTCTTCCCTGGCCACTGAGCGCGAGCGAGCTTTACGTGCGCTGTGACAAGGTTCTGGGTCGCCTCTGGAGAGGCTGCATTTTGGAATCTCTGTTCCCACCTCCAGCCTGAAAGCTGTACCTTCTTCCCAACATGGCACCTGATAGACCTTGGTCTGACACAGTGTCTTGCTCAGCCCTTAGGGAGAATTAGTGGAGCAATCTTGCTTTGAGCCTCAAATTAGTATGAACTGGAAGATTTTCTTTCTAGAGTGAAAAGGACTGTTTTTGAAACAAATGATCTGGTTTTGACTGTTACAGCAAAATGTTTATTCTCAGATATTATCAGCTTCTGTAGAGACTTCACAAGGGTAAACAACATACATTATAGTGGTAAGAATCTCATATGAGGTTTGGTGTGGAGGGGAAAAAAAAAACTACCTATTAATTAAGTGAACATCTTGCTAATAATCCAGCACTGATATTTCATGCTGTCTTAGAACTATTTACCATTCCAAAAAAATCCAGCCCATATAGCCTTAGAAATACTATCCCCTCCTTAATTGCAAAGTCACAGTGACTAAGCTTTGTAAAGAAACATTGCATCTTTCAAGCTCTGCAATGGTCTGTACGTTATCAAAGATCCTGAGGCTCTTGTGCATACCTTAAATACAGGGAGCATCTCAACGCTAGACCTACTGGAAGAGCAGCTACTGCAACTTCCTTATTACTGAAAATGGCACTGAATGGAGCAGAACCTCTAGATTTTCACTTTTTAAAAAAGACAAAATTTGGTAGTAAAAACAAATTAAGAATGATATACATGTTTTCCTTCAACTAAAACAGAAGTATTTCAAGCTGACAAACAACTGACTGATTTAAGGATTAAGCTAAAGAACAACCATCAATAAAAATTTCATATTTGCTGGATATGAACTATTTTTCCTAGGCTTAAGAAAAGGGCTCTATTTATGGTGTTGCAATTCTTCATGCAGTTTTGGAAAGTTAACTTTGGAAGTTGCATCTTTTCTTCTTTGGCGAACATCCTAATACTTATTTCCCTCAAGCAGTAGCAAGATAGTTCTGAGAGACATTTTAGAGATGATCTGGTACCAAGAAGCAAAGTTACTCAACCCAGAAGAAGAAACAGCTCTGACCATTTCAGGTAGATCAACATCTGTTGCTCCTCTTGCCAGTTAACTCCTTATTTTATACAAGATACCCTCTGCGCCCAGTCTAATATCTCTCTCAGCCCCTGAAGTAAATTTTAAAGTGTTCAGTTTGAAAACATCACGATATAGCCTCAAGCCCCTGCCCCCTGCCTCGGGGCAGGGGACCCCCCCCCCCCAAAAAAAAAAAAAAAAAAAAAACCAAAAACCCTACCATCTTTCTCTCAGAATGAGGATGAAGTACTGTAAGGCATACTGTACTTCATACAGTAACAGAAACAAGTATTTACTGCTCTGTGATATTTTCCCAGAGAAATAGTGTAGACAAAAAAAAAAATCAATCTCCAAATCTCGGTTTCTGTGGGATTTTTTTTACAACAAAATTCTGTAGGATTTCAGAGAACGTAGAAAGTAGGAAAGGGAATATTCTCTTTAATTAAAAATTGTTAGTGAAGAAAACATCTTCCCTGTTTAGATGCCTCTGAGCTGTAACATGGAAAAAAAACATCGGTATTAGTGGAAGATGTTCATTGGACCTGTTTCAAAACACTATGCACAAGGAATGTTTTATGATGATAGCAGTGTTGTGGAAAGTCAGCCTCCCTGCAGCACATAAAAGTCTTCAGTAGAGATGGTTGGGAGGAATCAGCACTTGCTTTGCCACAGTTATCATTCTTTTCAGACCATCTCTCAAAAGCTCAGAAAGGAAAACCTCTTCCTCTCACACTTCCACTGCGAGTCCTCAGCACTCCCCTCTGGGCAGGAGCTGCATGAAGGGAGAGAGGCTGGGCTGAAGATACTCCTGACAAATCCACTCAGATTTAGTCCAGTGGTTCCAAATGGCTGAAGGAAAACATGAAGATGGCCCAATCTAAAGCCGACATCAATAACAGAAGCAAGTTACTCGATCAGCCCTCTCCTCCATGCTTTAATGATTGCAACAGAATTGTTACAAAGTTACTAGACGTACTGGGGAAACAAGGAATAATGCAGTATCCTCACATACCAAGAAAGTACCCTCCTGTAACAGCAACAGGCCACCAGGTGTGCGGTGTTTTTGTAAGACGTACCACACTTCTGCATGTTCTAATACTCATTTAAAGTTTGCAAAGTTGGAATCAAGCCCTCTGGAAGCTCATTTCCTCCCCTCCAATCACCTTCTCTAAGACTTAGTTAAAAAAAAAAAAAAAAAAAAAGATTCAGGAAAGGAAGCCACTTAGAAAACTCAAGGGATTTTAATGACTGAAAAAGGAACTACTCATTATTATATTTAAGTAGCAAACAGGTGTTTTGCTATGAATGCACAAGCTAAAGATTTTAAGGAAGCCACAAACATTAGTAAGCCCAACATACAGAAGTTTGAGTAAGAAGGCATTTTACACACAAGTTTATCAACACAAAACTGTTTAATATTTATTAAATGACACAAAATACCTAGATAACAGACTCACTCTTTGAAAGGACATGTATTTACATTATTTACCAACTTAAGAAAGACTCTCTGTACCCATGTCAGACTTGTTATGAAACATTAAAAAGGTTTTGCTTTTTGCATCAAAGGATGCAATGGTGACACATGCCCTGTTTGCAAGTCTGCATAAACTATAACTTTTTGATGCAGTGAAAAAGCACAATTTTATATTCTGGCAGCCGAGTGAAGAGGCTTCTGAAAAGTAACAGGGTTAGTTTCCCTCCCCCCCCACTCCAGACATACTCTGAAGGACTCTCATACAAAAAGTATATTACATTTTTGAATGCTGCTGTACTCTTACAATTTTAGTGTAACTTTTCAAAGAAAATATTCTTCCTACTATACAAAAATCACTAAAAACAAAGTGGGAACATTTCTTTAGATGCTTTTTTTTTTTTTTTGTAAAGAAAGCATTAGGGCAAATGATATGTTTAGGAAAAAACAAAAAGACTAACTGAAAAAAAATGAGCAGAGACCAAAATATGAGTCACAGCTAAAGCAACTTAACAATTTGCTATTTTTTTTTTTATTAACTATTTACTTTGGCACCTTTGTGTAAACTATAGAACAAAACAATGTTTACAACACATTTGCAGTTACAGCATTTAAACAAAATGGTCACTTTTTAAACCAGCCAAGACAAAAAAATAGTCCATTTATGGGTATAAAGTTTAAAAAACCTAAAATATATATTTCTAAGAATAAACTGCAATTTCTTATGAACAGGTGCTATAAACTGCATGCAAGTCAAGATTAAAAATGAGCGGCCAAACAGACAAGCTGTGTTATAGCCAGATGAGTTGTGGTCCAGGCCCACTTTTATTTTTTTGTTTTTTATATAGAGATATATATATGGCTCAATAGGCAGGCACATGTTCCCAGCAGGGTTGCAGTGTTGTACGGTTGGACAATAATCTTGGCTGCAGCTCTGTCATTAACCAGGAATGAGCAAGACCTTAACAGAAGAGATGAATGAGTTCTTGGGGAAAAGTCATGAAGATACAAGAACAAAAGATCTTCTCCTCTCCCTCCCCTCACCCCTTTTCTTGGCCTAGCCAACGTTCTCAAAGTCCGTTCTTTGGGTTGCTTTAACTAGACTGCCAACAAATCGCTTAGAGTCAGCCTCAGCTCTTGAAGTCCGAAGAGATTTGAGGACATCTCCTATATTTATAGTTTTTGCACTTAAATTACTGAATGATAAAAATTAAATAAGCCTTCACATCTTTCTGATTGGTTTGAGTGAATGCTTGTCTAATGAGGGAGGATTTTACTTTTGCTTTTTTTTTTTTTTTTTTAACTTTACTTTTTAAAAATTGTTTGTTTGTTTTTAAATACAGGGTGGTGTTTGAATTATTTGTTGTAATAGACTGATTGGATCCAGTTCAGTATTGATTTTCATCATCTCCTGCCTCCTAAAGAGTTGAGTTTTATGCTCCTTCTCCAAAACACCTTTTTAAAAGGAATCGTTTATTGGCTAAAGATACAAAACACATACAAGAAAAAGGAACATTGAATGCAAAGTACAGGCGGCTTTTTTCAGGCATTCTTTACTCCCCTATGGATCTCTATTTGAATTAATCCTTAAAGATTTGCCTCCGTTTGCAGGAGCAGG